AAATAATGACTTTTAATATAATAAGAATAGCATTTATTGATTTAATCAATCTATTATACATATTATTTATACAATATACAGGATTTAAAATTCGCGATTCAAAATACTATAATAAGAAAGTTTTCGAGAAATTAAATAAAAAAGTTATTTGTAAATTTTTATTTTAAGCTATATCTTCTAATATAATAATGGTTTAAATATGGTTAATTATACAAACTACGTTGAGATAGTCACCTGTAAGTATTAGAGGGAGCGTTTACCAGTAGTCACTAATACTATCATGGACAGGCGACTGTGTAAACATAGTCTTTGGCTATATTTAAACTCTATTATCTCAAAAAATACTGCTTGAGATAAAAATTTATAAATAACTTTTTACTAATTTTTCGAGAATTTTCTTGCTAGAGTATTTTTAGTCGCGGATTTTGGGATACCCATATATTTATATAAATTCGTAAATTCTTAAAAATATATATATATACACAAATCATTATCATATTTATACACTGAAAAAAAAGATTGATTGCTGCAGCTAATTAGGTGATAAAAAAATAGCATAGTATTTTTAATTGGCTGCAGCAGCCAATTTTTGATTGCGTTAATCTATCTGCAATGTCAGTATTTCGATAGGCTAACACAATCAAAAATTGACTGTTACAACCAATTAAAAATGCTATGCCATATTTTACCATCTAATTTGCTGCAGCAGTCAATCTATTTTTTCAGTATATACTTGAATATACTTGTATATACATGAATTCTTGATTTTGAAATATAATTTTTTTAATGTGTTAAAAATGCATAGATATCCAGTAAATAGTATAATAAATAGTGAAATTTGATATACCATAATGCTTTGTGATATCATTTGTGATTATTAGGGCAGTACAATATTAATAATTGCCATTATTGTTATATTCGAAACTATTCTCTCTACCGTTATTATAATGTTACTATATATATGTATGTGTCGTATTTGACATTATTATGTTACTATATTTGTATATAGTGTTTGTCATTATCATATTAAAACGCATTTTGCATGTCTTTGAGAGATATTATTAGAAAAATTTGTTTTTTCCATCGCGAGTGGATAGGTATATCGTTGACTTGAACTTTGTGTACATAGCACGAGCATTAAGAAGCTTCCGTCACAGAAGAGTGCATCTAATATATGCGCGGAGATTAAGCTAATCGTGCATAAGGTGCACGCAAAGATCTGCCTTTGAAGAACAAGGATTACAAAACATATATGCGCGAGATAGATATAGGTGCGTGAGAGCGTATGTACAGAGTGTATGTAGAGCGTATAATTAACCTGTATATGTACTTTGACATACGACTTCACTAAGGATGCTGCGAGGATATACGAAGGTTCGTTACGGAGAAGGTCGTTTGGTTTACTTCTCTCGTAAACGCGAGAGATAACGTTCCCCATTTATTATCATCGCGATATCGTATGAAAGAGACCGGCGGAGCTTTCAGCGTGTAAACATATTATATTACGCTTTTGTCGATGGGCTGTTTTGTGCACAAAAATTGCGTAATTAAACCCCCGCTGTTTGTTCTTTCACAACGTAATTATACGCGTCACTTTCATGGTGTTTAATAATGCGCTTTAACGAAAAACGATACGATACGTTTTCCCGTTGTCTCGTTCTGGTAGCAGGGGGATTACGTTTCATCTTGCCATAATTATGAGGAGAGGAGAAAGGAGTGCGATAGATAAGGATTATTTTTCATGTGAAAGATACATTGATAGTACATATACGCTCAGAGAAATACGTTCTTTTCCATCTATCTTGATTTTTCATTTTGCAAGATTAACATTTGAACGTCGGACATAAAGATAATCCTCTCTAGCTCGTTTCTATCCAAATGGTATATCTGAATTATTGCTATTCTGGATTATTACTTCTCGATGCGCGGACGATTTTTAAATCCCATTTTCGTCACAGTCGACGTGCTTCTATTTCGACGAATACGGTGTCACTCGTTTCTGTCGTTGCATTTCACTCGCCCGGCCGACAGAACAAGAAATAACATACACAGGACGAAACGAAAAAGAAAGAAGATTACGCACACGGAAGCACGGATTCACGGCGTAGCTTCCTAGTTTGCTGTTGGAGCCTTTTTGTGTAGCATTCGCATATGGAATTCTCCAGCAAGTTCTTGCTCGAATTTTTTACGCGGGAGCGCGCTACGAAAACTCTATTTCACCGTTTTACGTGCAGTAAAATAACTTCGTTTTGATGCAATTTCTGCAAGATTGGGTCGGATTATCCTTCTAACCCCGCTATTTTCTACAGTTTTTCCATCATGTGTTCTTTGTAAATTGCGTGTATTACAAGGAATGCATTGTGCAGTTAATTAAATTGATTAATTAATTGCGTTAGCTTAATCATAAATTCTATCGATATGTTTTTATGTTATTTTGCATATTAGTAAATGAAATAACATTCAAACATATTGTAAATGTCGGTAGTTTTAATAATCTTCTGATAGAAGGTACATTATTTGAACTATCAAATAATTTAATATTCTATAAACAACATTAATTGACATCTTTTTAATTGGTAACGAGTATAAAATTCATAGCAAATAATTTCGGACAAACGATACATGCTGAATGTGAGAAGAAATTAAATTTAACAATGTTTGTTTAATCGACTAATAAGCTCTCCACTATATCGATATGCATTTTATTGATATACGGTTTATTTCGGCATCGATTTTGATTAAAAATAAAAAATTTGATTGGAAGCCATTAGATACTACTACAGTTTTCTCATCTTTCAATTTTCTTTCTTTTTAGATACATACATTTTAGATATATTTCAGTAATTATAAATATCACAAAATAATTTTCTGTTAATAATTTTCTGCTTTATATTTTTTAATCAAAATAATAAAATTTATATTTGTTGAAGTGATTTCTGTTTAAAATATTTTTGCTATAATTGCTATAATTTAAGACTGACATCGCTATATTAAAACAACTGACATATTTTTAATTCCGTAGAAATTTAGAATTCATTTTTGAGGTACTACGTCATGTAATTTCAAGATATTCTCGACGTTATCATTTAAATATTATTTTCATTATATTAAACATACTTTTGACAATCCGCAAAAACTTTCTGCAGAAAGGTTGGAACGTCTGCTTCCACGTCGCGGCAAGATTCTAATTTAAGAAAAACGCGACGCACGCGGCATACGCATATTTATTTTCGCGAGGAGAGGAAGGAGAGACGTCTCTTGAGAAGGAAGCGTAACTCGCTCGTCTCCGGATTTTCCGCGAGAGTCGTCCTGGAATATCTAGCGTAAGAATATAAATTTCTTCGGATGTAATCCCACCACGCGCTTTGTGAGTCGTCGGCGTGATTGTTTCTCCGAGACGGCCAAGGCAAGTATAACAGGAGCGCGAAGGGAGATCAGCTGGAGATGATAGGAGGTCCGAAAGGAGAAACCACACCGAAGAAGCTTCGTTGGCTGGCCTCACATCCTCGGAATCTTTGCGCGTGCGGTATTCCATCGCGGAATTCCCGACGGGATTTACGCCGGACGGAAACAAAGCCGTCGTCGCGTTTGATATGGCTGGTCGGGCATCATTCATGACGGTGAGACCATCCCCGACGAAAGGGGCCCGTTCTCGACGCGGTCCCGCATGAAATCTGATATTAAACATTCTTTGCATCGGTACGTGGTCGTGTGAGTTTGAATTGAAAAAGGGAGGTTGGCGCTGCAGTGGTGTCGAGATATCACCGCGCGATCTCGCAAAATTAACCGCGCGTGGTTGCGATATCGGTGATGGCGAAATTTGCGTGTAAAATGTTGACGAATTGTTGGCGGTGAGAGATAAAAATGGTAAGAATAATCATCCCTGCCATTCTCGTACATTTATGCGAATAAAGCTTATCCGATGAAATTTGACGTATGCTAAAATATTTCCACATGCATGCAGTAATCGAAAAGAGCCTTATAATTAATCACGAATAAAAATATTTTTTAGCGCTTATATTTTTGCGTTAAAATGTCAAAGCAGAAAATAGCGATATTTTTTCACGAATAGATTAATATTAAAAATTTTCTAGAAATTAAAAATGATAATAAGCATTATTATCTTACAATAATAATTAAAATTTATAGAATATATTATTTTTCGTGTCAGATATAATATATTTAATTTTACACATAAATTCTAATAATAAAAATCGAATTCGTCTTTGGCTGATTTTTATTATTAGAATTTATATTGTATTTTCAATAACAAGCAGAATCGTAATATATTTTGATATTTAATTTTGTTTACAGCTTTGAAATATAAAATCAAGATAAATGTTTTAAATAATATTTTGTTATAATATAATTGTAATCAAGATTAAATTACTAATAAATTTTAAAAAACTTTTTTAACACCTTTAAAACTTCTTTTGAAATCGATTACTAATTTCGTTTTGTTCATAGTGTTAGGATATGAGAAAAGCATTTAAGATATCTTACATTAACAAAAATTTTTTCTTAAAGAGAAAAATTGTAAGTATACATTCAATTGTTAAAAAAGAAAAAGAAGTACACTACTCTTGCAAGTTTATCTTGACATATAGAGAAGATCACTGTGATCAGTTTGTCGTTTGATGGAAATAAAAAAAAGAAATTTATATCGATCCATTCAGTAAACATTTTATCCCGAATAAATGTGTT